TGCTGATCGACCTTACGAACAACATCGAGCACCTTAGGGTTGCCATACTCATCACGATAAGCACCAATACCGAGATTAACCTTGTTTGAGGAAGGGTCAGCCTTGTAGGCGGTGGCAGTGCCAAGAATAGGATCCGGAGGAGCCAAATCACAAGATTCGAAAAGGGAGGACATAGCTAGGAGTGTCCCAGTCCGACTGGGTGAAATGGTACTTTAAGGATCCGATTAGAAAAACAGAACATCCTGTAACCGATTCCAATGCCTAGAGCAGCACCTGCCAAATATGTCTTATCAGGGTGGACCTTCCTAAGATTGGAGTCAGCTCATTTAAACCATCGCTGCGATGGCCCATGTTTCGCTATAATGCGCAGTCACGAATATGCAGCAAAAATGCTTGGCCCAGGGATAGAACATCCGCGGGCGAGCCGCGTAGAGTTGAAAAGAAATCTTCGCGCGCGTGCGCGAAGGATATCGTTCTGGACACAGTTCTTTCGGTCGGGCATAAAGCTTGAAACTTCAGCCTCGGGCATTTACGTGCATAGGGGGCCGTGCATTTCATCAGCATGATGGAGATGCACTACCCTATACTACAAGGCTCATGTTGATGTGACAGTCATCAATCGCTAGTCATCATTATCCTTGGGCTAGTAAAGTGCAGGCCGATCGACGGCACGTCGGTCCAATCTACAGACTATTCGGAACTCTGACTGAGCCAATCAGACTAACTCGTCAGTCAGTCCGGGACCGCGTAACGGCTGTGTGACAAGTGCAATCAAAACTACGAATTGCCCCAAAACAAAGAAGGAACCGAAGATGAAGCGGAGGAAGGGAAACCCGACACTCCCTCCGAAATCCGACGAGATACCCAAAACCCGAAATATTGTCCAGGCTTGAGATGTTACTAATGTGAACCAGAAACCAGAAGAAGTTACCGTATTCAAGAGAAGACGCGTCATAGAGTCCTTGAGTTGCACCATGTGTTCAATTCCTTGAGAATATGAATTTATCATGAAGTCGGTCGCGCGGGAGTTTGTGCCGCTAAGAAAAAATTCATGCTGTGCAGAAAATTCAGACCCCCGTCCTCTCCTTTGTAAAATGACTACTCGACGCGTGGCTAGTGAGAAGCTTGGTATCCCGATTGATGCTCCTCCACAGTTGGTGCGGTCAGCATATCGAAGATTGGCCCTAAAGCTACATCCCGATAAGAACTTTACTTTAGATGCTGCGCATCAATTCCAACAGGTCAGATTCTCGCATAGTTTCTTGCGATTGTAAATTCCGTAAGCTGAGTTTGCCTGCTCACCGCGTAGGATAGGCGCATGCTCGAATAGAAT